GCATTTCAGTAGCCACCCTGTGCCACTGAGGAACCAGCGAGGGAAAGGAGACTCCAACTGCACACAGGTAAACTGACTGACTGGGAGCCACGACCCCAGTAAAAAAAAAATCACCGTGTCCAAAAGTAGGGCTCAAGTTCTAGCTACACTCATTCAATGTACTTACACTTTCACAATTAGAGCTTAGATGTAACTTGACTGTTTCAGAGAGTACTGGTTTTGTCAGTTTATTTAGAAATGTAACTAGTGAAAAGGTACTTAGCTGGTCACAAGCAACATATGCTTTTGTAAGAAGAGTTCCTAACGGATCGCATAAAAATTTCCACCTAAACTATGATCCTCTATCAATCAAAATAGCCTGCCCAGTCATACCAGAGATAGCTAACTAGCTGAAGAGTGAATCACTTTATTCTCTCAATCAATCTTATCAGATTTCTGAACTCCACTATTTATAAATAAGAACATACTCTGAAAACTCTTTCCCCTCCCCCTCAATATCACACACCTTACATGAAGCAAAAAGTTGAGAATGTTACAAATCAAATGCATGATTTCCCACTAATCTCAGTGGGAGTTTACAAAACCCATTAAATGCAGATGGTTTCCCCAAGAAAAAAAAAAAAAGGCAACATCCTATTTCTCAAGGTTGGTAGCCTAGTAGATCTCCAAGTTTTAACAGTTTAAGGCCTTGTCACAGTTGAAAGTTTTTTCTTCTATGATTATACAGCTATATTTTTATATTACTATTATATATACATATTTACACACAATTTTATATTTAAATATAGTATTCAAGAGTACATACATAGTTCTACTAATATAAAACACTGTTCATACTCTTTGTTTTAAAATAAGAATATTCACATAGGGAATTATTCCAGTAAAGAAAAGGCAGTAAAATCATACAGTTGCAGATTGTTCAGTGTATCTCCAGGTATGCATAAACTCATTTAGAAGACTTTTGTTCTGGCACAGAAACCTCTCTCTTTCTCACTCCCCTGCTGCTGAATTTAAACCATACCACATTTTTAACATGTACACCAAGTGCCCTAAAAACAAACCACCAAGTCATTGTGGTGAGACCAGAGGAAGACTAATGAACTCCTCAAAAAAGGCTGAGCCTGCAGCAGCTCTGACTGCAGCTTATCTCAACAAAACTCCCTCCTCACCAGTTTGGTCTGTCAAAATGTGCATTTCCCACTACATATACACAAAGTTTATTTCAATCTCCCCTTCCCCCCCACAAAAGGAAATGTTTGTGTTGTACTCAAAGAGTAAGATTCTCCTCTCTGGTTAAAACCTAAGTAACATTCCATTTGGATTTCTCTCATTTCTTCTCAGTTCCTTTCCACTGGACTAAGCAAAAAACAGAGAGAGATGGGAAGGTTTCACAAAACTGGGCATTAGCAATTCCTGTTAAATTAAAATGATTGAAAGACCCACTGTGATTGCTGCTGTAAAAATGAAGAGTTAAAAGAAGAAAAAAAAAAAAAGAGAACACCTTATGCAAATGATGAATATATCTGATTAATTCAGTAACATTATAAGTCTAGTCATTTTTACTTTTTTCCTACTGTTTGCTTATGATAGTAGAAATTTTCTCTATCCTCTCTACTTTGAGGCTGCAGTTTCACAAGATGAAGCCTTCCTTCTGCAGCTGCCCAGCTCCTCCTGCCTGTGTCCAGCTGCATCCTACTGCTGCTCTGGTATCGCTGGCACTACTGACTGCAGCCTCACATAGAACATCTCAAGGGGCTAAACAGGCTCACTTGAAAAACAACACAAACTAAAAACAAAACCACACACACAAAAAAAAAGCCCAAACCAAAAAACCCTTATAATACTTGGCAGCACCACACTAAAAGAGCAAGAAGCATTTGCCTCTTAAAGTCACAAATCCTGACAAAACCAGGGAAGTACAAAGACTTTTAGAAGGATAATAATCACGAAGAAGTGAAAGCAGACACATTAAAATTGTTATTATTTTGCAGCTGCCCTTTAAAGCAGGGAACCAAGGTGATGCAGTTAATTAAAACTAATGGAAAGTAAACATCCCTGAGCATTCAAATACAAACATTTTATAACATCTTCAGAAAGAGAAATCTGTGGGTGGGAGCACTGCTTCAAGATGACAAAAATGTAACATGATATCCCTTTATTCAAAATTAGAGTACAGTAAAAATTGTCTTTGGAACACCTGTTCAAAAATCAATTAGTAGAGAAATAAAATACAAAGACTGGACAAATTGATTTGAAATTCATGCTATACCAGAGCCTAAGTAACTGCTGTCACAACCAGCCCAAGACCTGATAGTACACTACAAAGGATTTACTAAGAAGTGCTGGTGTAAAAATACATATAAAGATAAGAGAACTGTACCCCTGCTGATGCAAGTACATGACACTGCCATATGAAAAGCATTAAAAGGAAGTGGGAGAAAAAGCAGAGGACACGTGTCCCACGGAAGAGGCAGCATAATGCCCGAGTGCCTTAACCACCAGGTTTATGTTGGCAATATTCCACAGCCTCTCCATGACTCTGTGTGAGATGAGAGTCAGGCCCAAAGGATACTAGAACCAGAAATGGCTCATTATATGCCAAGAATACAGTTCTCAGCTTTATGGGAAGATCCATAACCATAAAGAAATTACTTTTTAAAAAATTATTTCCTTTAGGAAATAACATTACCCTTAATATTCATGCAGCCACTGATTTACCATATGCAGCAGGGCTACGTAGTAATATATTGCCCTGCTATTTACGTACATGTTTTAACACTCAGATCCTGTGTTGTTTTACTCATTTTTCAACATCCCATGTTTTTTTAAATCATTTTTTATATAAAATATAAAACCTCCTCAAACTCCCTTTTACAAGAATGCATGCATTATCTTAAGATAGGAAAAAAAGAAAAGCAAACTGTAAAACCAAATCAAATCAAACAATCCTTGCAGCAATGCAGAACTAGCAAAGACACAATAAGGTAAAAAGATCAGGGTTTCATTGTTAATACTGCTCTTACAAGTTTTCTGTTTTAGGTTTCTCATTTGATGACATCTTCTTGCAGAAATGTACACAATGTTTTCATTAGAAAACACTGGGAAGACAAATAAGCACCCTCTCTGAAGCTACCATAGGCTATCTAGTCTCTCCTCCCAGAAATAACTCTACTGCTCTTACCATCACACAAACCCACACCCACAGTGGTATCTTTACTTCCTTGCTTTCCTCTACCCACAGCTCCAGAAATCTGGGAGGATCTTGCCATTTTGTCCCCAAAAGGTTTTCTAGAACCCATCATTTGCTGTCCAGACCCACACCTGAACTCACCTCCTACACAGCAATCTTGTTTGCTTTGCTTACACTGTGAATCTGAGACTCCCATTTTTTCTCAATTGTGATGTCCACACACACCAGTACATCACACCCTTCCTTGAACCCAAATTACTGACTTCAACAAAGCTGCAGTATTTTGGTTAAAAACCCTTTAAAATACTATCACTATGTTGTACTTCATAGTTTCAGTATTTATTTCAACTATACAATTTCTCCACAAACAAGTAAAGGATCTTTAAAGACATCTGTCAAGTGAGTATCATTTACAAGATACACAAAGTATTAGGGAAGTAGCTGTATAAATGTTTGTCAGTTTTTGAAACAATCATGAGTAAATTCTACACTGTTGAACACCACACTTGGTTGCTCCTAAAATCAACACCCACTGAAATCAATGTCAATAAGAAGGGGGTCCTTTAAAACTGCTTTCTACATTTATTTTGTTTGTTTTGAATTGTTTCTTTACATAGAATCTGTACTTAATGTCAATCGAAGTGCAGTCTGGAGTGCAAACCACACAACAGGAACTTACTGGCAAAAGGTTTGAACAGTTAATGAAGGAACAGAATTATTTCTAAGAGAAGAATTACATAATCGTTGGAGTAATAAATCAAGTGCAATTAATGAGAACTTCTTTCCACCTTGAAAGTCACACGGACGACAGACACTCCTCAGCATCCTTCCTAAAGTTGCCTTTAGGAAGATCGTAACCACACGAAATCCTATTAGAAGGTGCTGAACTCCTACATTGTGACTCTTCCGGCAGGCTTCTACATCACAAAAATGCTACTGAGTTCCATACAACTTCCCCCCATCCCTCCTTATTATGCAAAATCCTTATCAAATTCAATAGTGTGACATCGTTCCAAACCCTGCCTAACAATGGCACTCGGGAGGTCAAGAGATGCTGCCTTTGTTTTAGTTTCACGTGCTTTTCAGTCTATTAATGTTAAAAAGAAAAAAAGAACCCTCACAGAAATAACCGATAAAGATCAAACCTAACTAAACAATGGGAAGGAAATTCAGAGTTAAAGCTGGTACTTAGCTCTTAACGCAAACCATTGTGCCCAGGTCCTGTGCAGCGGAACGGTCCTTCGGGTCACACAATACCCAGGAATAACAAGGTGAGGTAAGAAGCCTTCAGCTCCCCACTTCCCATGCCGATGTTGTTTTAAGTTCGGGGCAGGGCCGCGGTTTTAACGCGGGATTAGTAGGTCTTGGAAGGAAGCGCCGGGCAGCCCCTGCTCCTTTGTGCTGCGGGTTGGAGGGGAATGCAGCACGCGGCGCGCGCTCCCCCCGCAACCCGCAGGACAAAGGATGCAGTGATCGGGGGGGGGGACACAATTAGTCCCAATTAGGCCTATTTCGCAGCTGAGTGTAAGGGCTGGGGGCAGGGAGCCTAAATTTTAAAGCAACGGGTCCCTCAGGCGAGTTAAAGTGTGCTCGGCAAAGTGACAAGTTTCAGAGACTGGACCCCAGTTCGGCATCGTCGGGGCAAGTTTCCCGGAGTCGGTGGCACAAACACACCGGGTCAGAAATGTGAGAACCTTTTTGCCTATTAGCTTATGCTAACCACATTTCCCAGTGCCCAGCAGCAGCTCTGCTGGGGGCACACGCAGACACACTCGCAGACACGCCCGCGGGCCAGGCCAGCAATACTCACATATGCACATGCGGAGGCTGGAACCTGCTCTGGTTAATGTTGTAGTGTGTAAACGCCTGCGTTGGGTTGGAGCTGTATTCATCCACCGTTATGGTAACTTTGCCTTGTGAAGGTATTCCATGAGCCATCCTTCCTCCTTATGAACATGAGCAGCTCACAATTTCCCAAGGCCAGGAGCAGGGTAGGGCATCGTGTTCCAGGCAGCTCCACACTCCAAGCAGCTCCTCATCAACTCCACGGACCTCTGCAAGGAGAGAAAGACAACAGGCACTGCTATAAACTCAAAAGTAGATTTAAACATCTGCAGACATATTACTCTATCCTTTCCTGATTTCCATTCAAATATCTTCTTTCTGCATTTTTGATGCACTCGTTACCCAACTCTCTAAGTGTTACTATTCACAATTTTTTTTAATTACCTCATCAGTTAACTCCATCATCATTAAATACATCCAAAGGATTAATGCTTAAAATAAGGCTTTATCCTCAGGAAAAAAATAAAAAAAAAATCTGCTGAAAGCTCCAATTAAATACTCCACATTTGCTATTATTTATTTTAAATAACATCTTGTGCTAATTGCAATGATGAAAATTAACAAAAGGACCCAGTCTCCTGAAGGACAAATGGCCTTCCACAAGTACACACAGTTATATTCAAGGCCCTGTTTTAGCTTTACAAAATCAGTTATATCTGACACACTTACGAGAAGCTGATGCAAAGCAGACAATTTTACAGTTGCAGAGCAAAAGGTGCAGGCAAATACTTTTGAATCAAAGTATTTATCTGTCCAGACAAAGGCTAACATCTAGACAACATTAACAAAATAACCATTTGATAGTGCAATGAAGCAGATTTGGATTCTTCACCAGACAGTAATGATTTATCTGACAGATTTAAGTGCGATTTTATGCGTAAGTATTTCTGCATAAGATGAAAGAAAAATGTTCCTCCCTCCGTATGCACCCCTATGTCTCACTTCTTCCAACTACTCTTACATGGATTTTTGCATTAAGACCAGAAGCACTCTATGAGTGTAAGCCCAACAGCCAGACACTTCCCTAACCTGATCTCTGCTGAGCTCCCTGCACAGAATCTGAGCTTCAATTTCTTCCATCAATAAACCTAGGATACCTCAGCTGTCTCCCTTTCAGAGGGAATTTGTGAAAATTGATCAGCTGATGTTTGAAGAATACTTTCAAGATGAGCAACTCTTTAAAAGCCCTGTTTAAGAGGCAGATGCTCAGCTGGGGCACAGTATTCTAGCTGTAAGGACATATATGAAATAATGACACTTTACATCAGTTGATCCCTTTAGCTGCTACACGCAATAGTGGATTTGTCATATCTGGTGTGTAATTTACAAGAGTAAATCAGTGTTCACTGGGAAGACAAAGAGATGGGAAACAGAAGAGACTGACTTGAGCCCTGGGCATCAAACTAAGCACTGTTCTTCCACTATGACATTCCTGGGCTTCTTTTAGCTCCCAGATAGAAATGTGTTTGCCATGTGTAACATTAAACATTTGGAATCTTTGATTTGTATTCAAAATTTATTTTTAATACAAAGACTAATTTCCAGTTTGGCATGAAGCACGATACAATTGCCCTGCAAATGGCAGATGGCCTGCTATAGGCCATTTATTTTACTATTTTACAACCTCAGGCCTATGTAGGCTTCCATATGTTAGTTGGGTTAAGACATTCTGCAACCTTCGTTCCAGTAATTGGGTTCTATCCTTCATCTTCTTTAGCATTGGAGAGGGGGGGAAAAAAGGGGAAAACAAACAAACAAACAAACAAAACCCCTAAACCATAAAGTTCCCAATTAAAAACTGAAGTCACTAGTGAGACAGTATATCTCTAACTTAAGATCACAGTCTGGTCTTTGCACTAACCCCCTCTGTTAAGAATAGGCCATAGTTTCAGGAGTTAAAAACAGCAAGGTGAGCATTAGTAAACCAAATCTCTTCTATTTTAGACAATGTAGGATGCACGTGACAACTGCTCACGAATCATAATGTAGTGGTTACCATACCAAGTTTGCAGCTGTTTCCTTAATTTCCCTCACAATTATATTTTAGTGTTATTTTGCATAACAGTAAAACACAACACCTGCTTCAAATTGCAGTCCTGTTCCAAGTACTGTAATTCTTTTGAGATAGAAACTGGGAAAGAGCGTGCAACACAGAGCAGCATAATTGCCCCGCACTGAAAAGTAAATACAAATGAAAACATCTTCCTGTTAGAGAAATGACTGTCATTAACAAGAATGCTAGCCATCAAAGCTCCCAGGAAAAAAAAAAAAACCAAAACAAAACAAAAAACAAACTCTTAAGTTTTTCTTTAACACAGCAAGAACTTCAGCGTCTGCATAAATTAAGTAGTAGTGTGAAAATTACATGTCTAGTGTTATTTTTCTTGCCATTAAAAGCAACAATATAAAACAACACGTTGAACCAAGTATGCTTGGGCCTTCAGAAAAGCAAAATCACACTGTTTTCAGTAATCTAGCATAAGAAAGGTCTACATTACATTTCACATTATAGTTCACTCGCAAGAAAAAAATCCAATTTCTTCATGAGAATGTATCATATAGAAAAATAATAAGCTTTCTTTACAAGGTTCATAACAAGCCATGCTACAGAAAGAAATTTTAACTAACTGGCATAAAACAAATCGTAAGAGGATACTTGAATAGCTGTATAAAATACTTTAACGTTGACTTTCAGTAAGATTTTAAGTATATAAAGTGCAATTGCTTCCCATCTTTAATCTTAATAATAAAACTCTATATTTAAATTAAGACAAAGCCGAACAAAGCATCCTTTTGCAATTAAATTCAACAACAAATGCTGGACTAGGGGAAAAAAAAAAAAAAAAAAAGGAAAAGCTGAAGGTGGCTTCTGTGTCTATTCTCTAATTTCCTTTCAGTGCTCCAGAGTAGCACAGCTCACCTACCAGAAGTATCTAATTATTGTCTTCCTTACCGTGAACTTCTCTGAAGAAAATACCAAAAAGGAGCTGGACACTTCAAAACTTTAACCACAAATTTATTTTAGGCCCAAAATTTAAAAATAAATAAGTAAATAATAATAATTAAAAAGGCTATTTTTCATCACTAGCTTTCTTCCTTCTCCAACTGCAATCACTGGTTAAAGATTACATACAGGAGGTGAGTACAAAATAAAAGTTGCATTATATCTCACATCTGTCAAGTAAAATAATCTTCAATAAAACTGCCACATACGGTGGGAAGGATAAGTAAGAACGGCTTCATTAAAAACCTAAATGGAAGATTTTCGGGTTACGGAACGTCGCGTTTTCCAAAATTACAGCTCCTATCCTGGGAGCAACAGACCCTTCCAGCGCGGCTCCGGCCCGTCAGGAGGCAGGAGATGTGCTATTGTACCCATCTGCTCCCTTTTACACCTCCCCACCGGCACTTCTTCAGAAAAGGGGTGACACAAAACTTAGGCTCGCTTTAAATCAGCACACACCACTGCCATGGCAAAAAAAAATATAATAAAATAATAAAAATTAAAAACCAAAACCACAAAAGATGCGCGGATCGGTCATTTTCAAACGTTAACGTTGCATTTCACGGAGAGCTCCCCACACCAGCTGACGTTGCACACACACACACACACACACACACACACACACACACAGGCAGGCGAAAAACGCCTTCCCCCCCCAATAAAATATTTCCTCATCTCAATTTCAAAAATTTGCCTTCCGGCTGGTTGCGGGTTGTAAAAGAAAAAAAAATGTGAAAGGCAGGAGAGGGAAAGGGTTAATCCCGTGTCAACACCTTCTGTTGATACATCCACTATCCCGACACTGTTACAGCAACAACACGCGTTACACCCACCCGGAGCGCGGGCTCCT